TGCTGGCCTTAGAAGACCAGCATGCTGGCCTTAGAAGACCAGCATGCTGGCCTTAGAAGACCAGCATGCTGGCCTTAGAAGACCAGCATGCCTTCAGCATGCCTTGAACATTTAGCCTCTAGACACATGGTTACAGCTTTCCTCCTCAATGCCGTTTGACATTTTTAGGGGGATTGGTTCCTTATTCTCCTTTTCTTTGCAGAATCTTTGTGTAAGTTGCGGGATTATATATAGCGACAATACAGCCTTTGGCGGTGACCAGAATTGTGCTACCTGTGATTAATAAAAAATGGACAATGCTACCTGCATGAAGTGTATCTCAGTGAATAGTCTGGTTGTTACACATAGAGTCTGATCTTTGTCCCGGTGATATCCGTGATGAAAGAGTCTCCACATCATCTAGTATGAGAACGGGCTGCTTGCAGAACTGATGTACAAAGTATTTGCATGGCATGGTTAGTCTCCAATTAAGCTGCTGCCACACCTGTTTGAAGTGCTGTAAAATGCAACAGTTCGTGGTCTCGTTATATAATGGCTTGAGGCAGAGGTGAGGAGCATCACAGCCACTTCAGCCTGCAGAGGGAACAGGTCAACAGCTACAGATCCATCTGGGAACCTGTGCTAGGCTGTTCGTACCGAGTAAAAGCTCTGTGAAATACTGAATGGTGGCTGGTTTCAGGACCTTGGGGCGGATGTTTTCTCTTCCTCTGGTTGCTGTTTGACACATCAAGGCCAGGAGGATCAGCTGAGAACACACTCTCTGGAGCATGAGTCCAGCCTCACTGGCTTGGAGGAGTGTCCCTATATGCGCTGTGTACTGAGGGTAAAAGTAAAGCCCTGGTGCACAGCTCTGCAGGATTTCTGAGTTTTAGTGCAGGCTGAGTATCTGCTCTCATTTTTGCAGTGTTTTATGTTTAACTTCCAAAATGGCTTGGATTCAAGGGCAAAAAATGAAAGTAACCGATAGCCAAAGAAATTCCTGTATCTTTTGATTTCCTGGGTTCTCTCCAGGAAGTACAGCGTGACACCACATCTCCTGGTTTCTTTTGACATGAAGCACCTCCATCAACTCCGTGCCCTTTCCTCACAGCACTAAGGAAGTGATTCATTACTGACAGGGAGAGAGGACGGTGTGCAATCAGTATCTGTTGCGACTTGATTTCTGTATGCTGTTTTATTTGCTGTCTTTTTCTAAATAGGAGAAGTTCCTGAGAAGTGGTGATGGTGTCAACTTTGGGATCAGATATAGCCTGCAACAAAATAAATGTGGAAGTGATGAGGAAGACCTTCTGTTTACTCTCTGATTATTTTTATTTAGTGTGAGATACAAGTGATTCTGGAGATACATGCTGAGAATTCTCATGAGGCAGGCAAACATCAAAGGTAACCAGACAACCAGGACGTTTACCAAGGATTTAAACAATAAGGAGGAAAAAGCCCGTAGTTTTGGAAATCTACGAGCTTTCTATTCAAATTGAAGGACAATCACTTGGTGTGTGGGAACTGCTGAGTCACGGCCTGAACCTCTGCTTGATCACCTGAGGCGAGCACTGAGACAGCCAGAGGAGCACAGGTGAAGGCAATTCACCTGTGTGCTGCAAGGGGTGGAGCCTGGCTGCACCTCTCCTCGACCCATTTCAGAGCTGACTGCCAGTGGGGAAGGATCTCTTCTGGAGATTTGTGCTCTGGAGTTTTGCGGTGAGCCCAGGATGTGGGTAAGCATTCTATCTCTTTTCTTTTTGTTATTATAATCTGCTTTGCCAAACTCTATTGTTTGTTTCATAATTATAACGTCTTTATATTCACTGATAATACACCTGGATTGTGTTTTCTGAGGTGAGCAGTGCACACATAGCAGAAAGCATCTGGTGTGAAGTGATTTCTCTGTAACTGTTCAGAGATGGAGCACGAGTAGCCCACTGGGTCTTCCCTTCCTTGTGGTAGGGTGAAATGGCTCTTGGCAGGCACTTGCAGTGCAAAAACATACTTCTAAAAGAACAAGCCTTAACAGGTAGAAGAGAGAATACCAAATTCTGAATCGCTTTCTGAAACCTTGTTTTTCTTTGAGGTTTCTCACTCCTGCTGAAATTGGAAGAAAGAAATACAAGTTTCTGCTGAGGTCACTGTAATCGGGAAGTGTAAGTTAAAAATGGGCCTTCTAAGTATTGTGTATTTACATTATGTAAAATGTGCTTTCATTTGCTCTCGCCACCCCTCTCTTTGTCTAATTTTGAAAGACATCAGGTTTTTTTTTTTTTTTTGTGTTGAGGTTTCAGTTTGTATACTAAGAAAGAAACTAAGGGTGAGGCAAGGAATGCTTTCTGCTTCAAGCTGTTGCCTTCCTATTGGTAGGCAGATAGGACAGAGAACCTTCTGGATATAGAGAACTAACTGGATGAGGATTTGAGATACAATGCTGTTTTCATCTAATTGGATGGGAAAATGTATCTAGTGAAAAGGTGTCATTGAGTATCAGCCTAAGTCACGTCAATAGTTTCAGGGTCTCTCTCCTGTTTCAGCTACAAGACAAAGAGCATCTCTTGACCTGTTGTCAGTTGCAGCTCTTTTTCACTGTGGACGGTTGGTGGGTGAAATGACAAAGCAAGGTGCACCTGTAAGGGGTAACGACCTGGTGAGGAACACTGACTGAATTGCTACTGGCACTTAGTTATTTTTTCAAAGCAGAAGTAGGTGTGATCTGCTTCAACAGGTGGTGTAAGTGCCTTCCATAAACAAAACGGATAAAGAACATACAAGAATTTGTCTTGGCACATCTGAGGGAAGCCTCCAAACATTTACAAACGGATAACGTAGTTCAGAAGGGGTGCTTACAAGCTGGTCGTAATACAGCTCATACCAATTTTGGTCAAACTTGTATTGTCCACCTTGTAGCAGTTTATCCGTTTATGACACCTTAGAAAAGCATGTAGTTTTTTGACAGAATTTCCGAATTTGCAGATAATGTCAAATTTGACTATTGCCTATGTTAGGTTCGCTTTGAAGATGAGGTCCTTAAACCAAACTTCAGGTCTTGCTTCTAGAAAAACATGCAGTTGTATCAGACACGCGGTTAATGACTGATTGACCTGCAGTGCTTTATTCTTCTGTGTATTCTCCATCCTCACAGGGTATTCTCTTATCCCACACAGCAAGCGACAATATTGTAAGCCTTACTAATTACTAGCAGAAGAATCAGTATTGGCGATCAAATGTGAGGTATCTGACTTCCTCAGGAGTTGGTTAGACAGTCTTGGGCTGTCTTTTTGCTGCTAGTAATCCATCTAACCTTAAGTGTTGCATTACAAAACAGGGTTGCAGCACTTGCAACACACAGGACTCTGATGCCTGGCAGTCAACTGGATGCAACCAGTGCTGCTTTGAACAGGGCAGGACTGGAGACAACCTAGCACGTGGCACGTGAGTATTGCCAAGTGCTTTTTGTACTCATTTGCATCAATTCACAGCTCTCGGGTTGTGTCTGATCCTGTGAATACTGAGACAGCGACGCTGTTACATGTAAGAGAGGTGAATGAGGGGAAAAGTAAATCCATTTGGGTTCACTAAAACAAAGCTGTAAAAATCATTACCAGATTTGCGTGCTTGATCCTAGATATAAGGGGGGAAAAAAAGCTGTTCTAAGTGCTTTTGTCTATACAGGAAGTAACCTTTCCGTAGTCTAGAACTGTTAATACAGTCACCTGCCAGCTTACTGCCACTTGTGTCTCTGGGATTATTTTGGAGTGCAGCTGGATGCGGGACAGCATGGCTGAAACTATAATGGCATACAACGTCCAGTGGTGCTCTTGGTTACAGTAGGATACTAGGGCTGCCTGAAATTGCTCCAAATGACTGCTGATAAGTATGTTACAGTGGCTGGCTGAATTAAGGAGAGTAGATGAAACAGTAGGCACTGAAGGGCATGCACTGAAACTTTGGAACGCAGTGTCGTTAGGCAATAGTACCAGCATAATAAATATGTACATGTTTTTCCCCTCCCTTCCCTTCCTTCAGTGGCAATGCTCACTTCCCCTAGGTAATTATTTCCAAGTGCCTTTGTGCTCAGTCACCACCCCGGAGACCGTGAAGGGTAGATCAGTCACGATGTTTGCTGAATCCTTGCCCTTCCTGCTTTAATTGCCCACAGGGAAGGCAGTTAATTCAGGCACCTTGCAAACAGTAAGGACCGTTTTTCGAGCACCATTAAAAAAATACATATATTTTAACCAAACATTCTAACTAGAATTTATAATTGAGTTTCTCCTTTTACTTAAAACTTTCTGTACTACACTGATTTTTATATTATGCTGAAGTATAGATTGCCATGATCAAAAATTCTGTAGTATTTTGCAGCAGTGCTTTAATTAGGAATTGCTCCTAAGTGGGCCGTGGGACTGCCTCTCTTGTACAGAGGCCAGAAATGAAGCAGAGTTCTATCCCTCCAACATGCTGACTCATTTAACTCTGCTCTGCTGCTACGTAAGTCAGTAGCATTTACCTCTGCAAAACATAAAATTCCTTTCTTTTATGGCTCTCAGGCAACAATATTTCTCCTCTTGCAACTGGCCACGCACTAGAACATAATCTCCTGCTTAACAGTTAATTTTAGAAAGGAGAGTAAGTAGTAGCGTGTCAAGATTTTGTATGCATATATATATATATAAATACAGCATCTTGGTGTAGTGCAGTTTTGTCCTAAGGTGTTTGTTTGGTGGGTTTTTGTTTTTTTTTGTTCCCTTGCTGAGGAGTAAGACTTTGCTTTGAACAGCTCACCACTCCTCTCACCGTAGAGATAAATCCTCAGAAATCAAGGAGGGTTATTCTGTTTCAGACTTGATTACGCTTTCTATGGTGGGTTTATACAAGGACTTCTCTGAAAGTAATGCCTCCTGTTTTACTATGTTGGCTCACAATGTCAGAGGCAGATGTTGGTGGTATGGCAGTTAGAGGGTGGATCTTTCCACCAATATTCTATTGCGTGCTGTTGCTGTGTGACAGATGGCAACAGAAGGGCAGTCTGACAAAATGGCATCTCACGTGGAAGTGGGTATGAAGTGAAGATGTGTCTCTGAATTCCTCCATGCAGAAAAAATGGCACCCACTGATATTCATCAGCACTTAATGAATGTTTCTCGAGACCAAACAGTGGATGTGAGCACGGTGAGGCTGTGGGTGGTACGTTTCAGCAGTGGCAACACTGACTGTGCGTCACCTCTGCTGGTGCGAATGTTTACAAGAGAAGCTCTTGTTTGCCCCTGAAAAGAAATGCATAGCTGGTGGTGACTATGTTTTTTTTAAAAAAAAAATAAATAAGAATAATAATAAAAAAATTGTAGCTGAGAATCTGCTCTGTCAAACAGTGTTAGTTTGCTCTTTGTATTTGTTGTAATTTCCACAGAAATAAACGGAAGGCATTACTATTGGAGCAGCCTACCTATGTTTGGCACAGTTAACCTGAAGCCAAACAGCCACAAAGCAAAAACCGTGTTTTCTTCTGATGTTAATAACTGAAATCGCCATTTTCAGGCCACATTATAGATATATGTGAGATATATGTGCCAAGTGCAGGTTTCTATTCCCCAAGTTGTACCATTTTAGTGAACGTGAAAAAAATGAAAGCAGGATTTGTGAGGACTTAAGTTGGCTGAAATTGGATCATGACTCTTAGGTGAACAGCAAAGGTGCGAGTCTGCCTCATTTGTTATTGTCTACATGCAAAAAAAGGTAAGGAAAATTGCAGGTCACTACTGCTCAACTCTTTTTTAGATACGGCAAAGTGGGTATTTAGAGGCACCGTTTAGATTTGACAGCTTTTTATATGTGCCCTGCACCAATTGAACAGTGGTGGAATTTGCTGTATTTATTATATTCTGGAAGTGTCAGAGGCTGTGGTATCTTTGATGTTGCTTTCCTCTTTGTTTCTTACCTCACCCATTATCAAATAGGTCTTTCACGCTGCCCCCACCCGTTAAGTGTTGAACTCTGAGCCTATCTAGCCAAAAGGAAGCAATTTGCCACAGTGAATGTGAGGCAGAAACTGCTTCTCTACTGCAAGAAATCAACTCCTTCAGGAAAACCAGCAGGCCGAAGGGTGCACTGAGACACAGCAGTTGTAGGAGGAACTGATGCTTTGCAGAGGCCGGGTCCCACCACCACAAAGGAATGGTGCCTCCAGCATAATAAGCACATAATGCTTACCATCACGAGATCGTGGCAAGGTGATGTAATCAACCTGCCATGCCTCGCCGTATTGACACTTCTGCCATCGCCCCGCCATCGGCCTGGCCTTGGCATGCCTAGAAGACATGGCTACCTTGCAGTGGGAGCTGGAAGGTACTTTGCTAGCCGTTCCAAGCTTTTCAGGTCTGACTCAGTCCCGGGAACTCTCTCTCTCATCTTGTCTGATTTCTTAATCTCAATATCAATAAAATTGTATTATATTCTGCTATCTTCTATTCTGATATTATAGTAAAATAAAATACTCCATAGATTGTTGCATTCCTAGACCTGCCTCAGAAGGCCAGTAGGCACGACCATTGCTTGGGCCTGGCCACGTGAATATTGACCTGCTTTTTTCCATTGTGGAGCTGGCTTGCTAAAAGTACATCCAAGGCTTCTGTAACTGGCTCAAATACCTTTGGTGGACTTAGCCCATATTGTCCTCGTTCTGTCAGGAGGAGCTCCAGGATGTAACTATGACTCTCCTTAAGGATACAGCTGTCGTCCCTCCCCAAACGTTACCCGGAACAGCAGTACCGTCAGGCTGTTGTATTTCCTGGCTATCTGCTGTTCGGAGCCTTTCCTTTGTGTTTCTTTGTCAGATAATAAAGTAGGGATCCCACTCTTCGGCTTTCCCTGAAATCCCTCTGTCATTCCTGCGTGATTCCCCTCAAGGATGAGGGCTTACAGCCTGCAGAATGAGAGATGGGAGGCAGAGAGCTCTTCGTAGAGCTGCCCTTGAACATCCAGTGCTTAACCTGTTAACACCTGCTAAGCCTTTTCCTCCTTTGCAGCTGTGTTAATAATGTAGTCTGGATTTTTTAAGGAAGGCTTTCTCTTGCTACTTTGTAGCAATTTAATATCCTTCACATGTTGCAGCACCTTGATCAAGGTTCTGAAACATTGTGTTTTGTTTTCAGCAGTCTTCCAGCAAAGGAGGAAGCCTGACTGCCGTAGAGATCCTACTTTCCAAGACCAAAAAAGTTTGTCATCCTCTGCTCTTGTCACGGTGCTCTCAGCTTTTATCTGCTTTTTTAAATGCTGCTGTGCATAACTTAGGTTTGTTGCTTATAGAGATGTAATTGTCAGAGTGGTTAAGGGGTTCTTCTCTTATATGCGTTTTTTGATCTTTATTAACTGCAGTTTCTCATATATCCAATCTCCGTTGCCAGTTGGCACTGTCATTAGTTCCCTGTGCTTTTTACCTGGAGATGCTGTGAACCCACTGCAGCGGTAATTTAGGGGCTCTCCTACCTACCTACTTGAAGTTTTGCAGTTGATGTTGAAGATGTGCCCCATGTGCAAGGCTTGGGTGTTGCTATGTTCTCAACTGCATGAGCAGGTGTTGACAAGGAACCCGAAAACTAATGCTACAGAAACTGCTAAAAGAGGCAGCAGTTGAACTCTGAAACACAGTGGGACCGATAGTTTTGTTGCCAGACAGAAGAATTGACAAGAGAAGACCTGAATGAGTTTTGAAATTTTTTTCTACACAAAAAAAAAAAAATTTCTACACAAAAACACCTACTTTTCTTGGCTATGATTTTCAATGCTGTAATCTCTCTGTACACCAGAGTGGTAAATTCATCTCAATTATGATTTTGTTTAGTATTGTTATGTACTATTAAAATATTTGTGGTGTACTGTGGAGATACTTTAGGCTGATTTCATAGGAAAAAACAGGATGATGAAGTTGTAGCCTAAGCCATCACCATTACAGTACTGGAGCTATTCTAAAGTTGATTTCAGAAAAAAATACCCACTATACATATATAATATATATAATACAGTTTATATAATACAGTTTTGACCCTGGACTTCTCAGGTTTTGCCCTTCAGTTAAGATGTCCGCAGTAGGTAATTTTTCCAGAACAACATTAGAGATAGGGATGAAAGAGGGACTGCAATGAAGGGCAAGAAACAAAGATTAGGGAAAGAAAATAGGAAGAAAACCCAAAACAATGACAAAAGAAGGAAGGAAGAAGAAAAGAAGGTGAGAAAGAAGAAAAAAGGAAGGAAGAAAGAAAAGCAGAGAAAATCATTGTCTGTTTCCTTTGTACCTACTACGAATTACTTTGATCTGTTTTTGGAGTCGTGGTCCCTCAGCTGAGGAAGATGAAGCGATGTTTCGATAAGCTTTGAAGAGGTTTGTGTTGTTCAGTTTGTTTATGCCAGACATTCAAATTCATTATCTTTTCTTATTTTATCAATCTACTTAGACCTTGTGAAAAAGGTAAAGACAAGCAGCCATTATGCTAATACAGCTTGATTAGTGTGTGAAACCGAAGCTTAAAATCAAGTGCATCCTATCATTTTGACAGTTGGCCCAGCTACTGATATGAAATCATTTCTGTGTGGCCTGATGGTTGAAAATAGTCAATTGCTTACATTTCAGCTCAGTATTATGTTTTCTTTGCTATTTATGTGACAGCTGTTAAACAATGCTATGCAATTTTATGAAGACCAAATCATCCGCACAAGCAGCCCTACTGTGCTGAATTTCTGCTCAGTGATACAGGGGTAAATGCAGATTAGCTCCTTCAATGGCAGTGGAATAATTCCAGACTTACAGTATTGTAACCAGGACATAAACATTATTATGACTAGTTCTGAGGAAAATCAATCAGGCAAGCAAGCAGGCATTTGCTTAAACTCTCCGTGAGAGTCTGGAAGGAACTGTTTTGCCATCATAAGCGATGGCATAGGAGGCAAGAAAAAATGACTGTGTAAGTTCTGAACCAGCAGTTGCTAATGAAGGAAAATTGCCAGATAGTCCAGCAGGTGATTTGATAAAGAAAGATGAATCTCGGCACTATGTGTGGGGAGGTTGTGGAGTCTCCTTCTCTGAAGATGTTCAAGACCTGCCTGGATGCCTACCTGTGCGACCTGCTGTAGGGAACCTGCTTTGGCAGGGGGGTTGGACTCGATGATCTCTGGAGGTCCCTTCCAACCCCTGCAATTCTGTGATTCTGTGATGTATAGGTCTGTTGTCGGAATGCCTAAGGAATAATTGTATGGGGAAACTGAGTGATTGCTGTGAGTAAGTTGACAAATTATTTAGGACAAACAGTAGAAGTAACAGTTAAGAATCACTGGCTTTAATGCATTGCTTTTTGCATTGTAAGTTAGCTTACAAGCCAGCCTACCATTTAGATAGCAACACACTCGTCTGAGTAACGACTGCCTGGGAAGAAAGCCAGGAGCTAAGAAAATTAGTAAAGGGAGAAAGCATGTTCCATAAATGCTGTGCTTCAAAGTAGGTATGCTGTAGCCTGATATTTTTACAATTTCCTTGGGACTGATATTCGTATCCTTAAAGCAATACACTTTTATGTGAACAATGATTACTTCGTAATGAGCAGTGAAAGTTTTGGCACCTCTCGTTCGTTGCACTTTATTTCATCCCTTGCTTCCCTCTCCTTTCCCAGCCCCAAATACGCAGCTTATACCATCCCTTTTCCAGCAAAGTTGAGGACTACAGGCTTCAAGTTAAGATACGCGTTCTTTTTGAGTTTTTGCTGCTGACTGCATCTTCTGAAAAGAAGCATACTTTGGTTGGTCTGCAGTGCTGTTTATTACCAAGCTATTCTCTAATTGTAGAGAATACTTTATGATTAGCCAAGCGCTAACCAAAACTGTAGACCTCTAAACGCTGTTGTTTGAAATTTCTACAAGGTTTTAGTACTGCACCTTATTAGCCTGCCAAGATGAATGGTTATATGCATTTTTTTTTTTTTTTTTTTAGTAACAGCACGTCATTACAAGAGTAGAGCCTGGACAGAAAAAAACCAACCCTCTTGTACTGCATAAAAATGACTCAGAAGGGTGTAGCGTCCTCTGAAGATGCAGCGCTGTATTTCACAGAGCTTGCAGGGATGGCTAGAGGAGAATTCCCCTTCTGAGAGCAAATATATTTTTAGGAACAGAGCTGTGAAAAAAGTGTAGGGCTGCCAAAGAAGAACGCTTGCGTTGTTTAGTATCCTGTAATAAAGTAAGGGAAATAAACTGGAATAATATGGCTGATCTAACTTCAACTTAGTGCTTAGAGATGTCTGTAGATGTTTCCTACAATGTAAATTAAATAATGCTATAATAATTGAGGACTGTAAAAGTGGATAAAGGAGAGCAGGTCACATATCAGCGTTCTGTGAAGTGTGCATCAGCTCCAAGTTGTTATTTAAAGAGCAAAATTAGAAATACTACCTCAGTTGAATTAATTGAAAGTGTCAATAAATCTGCGTAGCATAAAATTTGTTTTTACTTCCTTAAATTATAGGTTTTATGCTTTAGATATGAACACATCACAGAAGTTTGGCCAGTGAAGTTGTCCTATGCTATTAGGTAGTGGAGATGTTTCACAGCTAAAGGTAAGTGCGTGTAAAAGGCATGAAACTTCAATGTATAAAAGGGAAGGGATAACTCTTTGCAAACTTATCAGAACGGGAAAATTACTCCACTCCTGGCACATTGAGCTAGCGTGACCAGTGATGAGTAAAGCTTTTTGAAATTGGAAATAATAAAACCCATTCCCATTCCTGCATGGGTCACAAGAAATTGAACACATTAGATGCTTAAACACAGCAGAAAGTTGTCTTTTCTTAAATGATAAATTGCTTGGCAGCGAATGAACCTCACGCAAAGTGATTTTATGCTCCTATTTTGTGTAAAATATGTGATCGGTTTTATGACCATTTGATTTTATTTCATTGCTTTTGCATGGGTGCTTGAAATAACTTTTATGCATTGTTTTTACCAGTAGAACAGTAAGAAATAAAAATACAGTTGGTGGTGTCCCTTAAACTCCGTCCTGGCTGAAACCGGGACATGTGATTGCTGAAATAAATGATTTAAGTTTGCAGATGTATGTATGTTATTTATGTTGTCACCCCAAATCATAATTAATTTACTGCCTAAAAAGGTTGTTGAACCAATGATCCATTTAAATGGCTATATTGCTTTTCTTAAGAGCCCTAAAGACAAAAAGGAGTGATCAAGGATGTTTATAGAAATTCTGTTACTCTAATAAAATTACTAATAAAAATAAAAATTATCCTATGATTTAATTATTGTTATTGAGTAATTGTAACAATTGCATCATTATATAATTACCAAGAAAAAAAGCTTAACGTGTCATATTGATCTAGAAAAGCAGGCAGTGCTGTTCATTACTGATTGACCATCGGTCTTTCCGTCCACAGGATGTGTGACTGCTTTCAGGTATAAAACAGAAATAATTCTGCTGGAATCTCATGCCAGTGAGTTTTTCCTGGTGTTCCTGTGCTACTTTTCCTCTCCTATGTATGGGTCCTGTAGTGTAGAGGAGCTGCACAACCTTTATGCCTACTGAAGGCTGCTGGTGGTGATAGTCATCTCTACAGAAAGTCATCTGTTGTACAGTTTCTGCTATTTGCCAGAGCAGCCCAATGGGGACAAGGCTGTAATTATAGACACTTCAATAAGAAAGAGAAGCATGAAGATCCTTCTATTGTTATATGGCAGGGACCCTAGATTTAGGTGGGTGGATGTTTTGACAGTCATGATAGATTACAATTAAAATTCTTTTACGTGTGTGCTATTTCAGGAGTGAGAGATGAGGGAAGAGCTTTTCCCACGTCTGAAACACTGTTACACAGGGAGGCTGGTGGCTTCTCTGCTGCTCATGGAAGGATCCATGTCCTGGTGATGGCCAAATACCTCCAAGGAATCTCTGGGATTTGTGAGTGCTGTTAGAAAAAATGCCCTGCGCTTTCTACGAGCTGAAAGGTTTCTTCTGATTGGTTGTCATGCACACAAGTCTGATGCAAAAGAACCCAAAAACACAGATCTAGGGTATGCATGCTGACTGGGTAAGTCCACTGGGGCCGTGTTAGTATACTGTATGTAGCCATAGAGAATGAGTTTCTATATGCCGTCTGTCGTCTTTCCTAGCATTTTCTTTGGCCTGTGGACTCTGATCTACCCTTAATTGAAGTGCCTGTAGGCTTCTTTCTGTAGGAAAGAAGAGTTACTGTGAGTGGGGTATTCCATTACATTCTATAAGCCTTTTTTTTTTTCTTTCTTATATCCTGTGCTCGAAGCCTTCTACCATGCATGTACCATGGAATTCAAAACTTCATGTTAACCAACATTCTAGCTTATGCAGGAGTGAGAGTAGGGGGAGCCTGTTGTAAACCAGTGACAGAGATTTTGGTTTTCATTTTTCGCTTTTTTTTTTTTGCGAACGTATTGTGCTTGTTTGATACGTCAGCAGTCACATGTGACACGGCAGTCTTTGGATGAATCCTTCTTTTCTACAAAAGTAAGTTTTTTTTACCTGAAGACATTTCAGGTTTTTTTTTGTTTTGTTTTGTTTTTTGCCCTGCATAGAAGGCGTTTAAGAATTGACAACTGCAAGTGAAGTAACAAGTAAATATCAAACTGTATGCCCTCTGCCTCCATATGCTTTTTTTTTTTTTTTTTTTTTACATAAGAGTGAAAACCAAATTACTGTTGTGTGGTCTTTTCATTTCATTTTGTTCAATATGCCATTCGTTTTCCAGTTTCTTTAATATTTGCAGTACCTTGCAGAGCACAGAAAATTATCCGTTTCTTGCTCAGGTTAATCATTTCTGTGGTAGAGGTGAAACTATATCAAGGCTGGTGTCTGAATCACACACATGCATGCTCTGCTTTTCTTGTGTGTTCCAATTTGTTTGCACTTAATCTTGGGGTATTGGCGAACATGGTTGGAATGGGCAAGAAAAAGGACTTTCAGTTCGGACTTGCTGGAAAACAGTGTTCTGCAGTGCTGTGCGGACTGAAGGAGCGTGTACTCTTTATCAGTGACTGAGCACCAACAAGAGGAAAGCCATTCAACATGGGTAAGTGTAGAAACACCCCGTTAAAACTTGCAGCTTTTTCACGTCTCAAAAACTCAAAAACTAAAGCCTTCAAGTGTGCTTGTTTCTTTTCTTACACACTGAGCCCAGTAAAATAAAAACATCTGATTGTTTGGCAAGTATGGCAGCTGTGCAGGTATCTGGCACTAACGCACATGTCAGAACGTGTTAAACAGTTTGCCTGCTTAATACGTAAGGAAAATCCCCTAAGGAAAGCATCTCAGCTTTTGCTGGTGATTTGAATTTCCATTGAGCTCAGTTCTGTAGTCTGTATGTTCCTTGCTGAAGAAAAATTCGTGTTTAATTTGATGGACGTTTGACCTGTTTGATCAATCTGGATAATGAAGGTAACATTTAGTCCAGTGTTTTTAATGGTTAAAAGTCTTCTGAAGTCTATAATCAGTTTTGGAAACCGATTTCTCACAGATCTTGGAAAAGATCAACAAGTATGATATTTTGTTTCAACTTTCAGTTGTTAATTTTATTGGGGTTTTATTACTTCATGAAAAGGTGTGCTCTTGTGTCTGAAGTAAAATGATGCCAAGAAGCAGTGATGTTCTTCATAGTCTCTGTAAAACTTGCGTTAGCAAACTTTCCAATTAACTTGTGATCCACAGTTTGATGATGCAGTGATCACTCAAAGATGTTGCAGGTGCCTCAGAGGAATCTAAAGTGCTAGATGCATTTACCAAAAAGTCTGTTTTCCACCATGCCATATACTGTTTTAAGTTCATTTTCCATCTGCATTAATGGCTGGTTTAACTAAAATGCATTTGCAAGCTGAGTGGTCTCTAGAAAACTTGACAATAAGTGAAGACAACCCCTGTGATGTGGGGTGCAAATGCACTCATCGTTGCTGCTTCTGTTTAGAAGCAGCTCAGGCAGAAATCAATATGTAAGTGAGGCAGAAGGGAGGTGTCAGACAAGATGAATTGTCTTGTTCATCTCCCTGTACCTAAACCCAAAATCGCTAATGCACTTGGCTGCCAATCCCGCATCTGTTTTTAAAAGATTTTGGTAGATCATTAAGCAGTGTTAAGGTATGAGCTCCCACTTCAAGGCAGTTTTTGGGGAAAAAAAAAAAGCCAGGCTGCTGGGCTCCATTTAGCTGTTTTTGTTCCCCAGAAGCGACAGCAAACATGGGTAAAAAACGTCTTAAATTCTAGGTTACTTTTAAAGGAATTATGTATTGAATGACATGCAATAGAAGAAAATGATGTGTTCACGTTTTGACACAGCTGGTGTGGGTTGGGGGCTGAGGCAGCCTGCACTAACCCTCTTTGATCTGGTCCTGCACTTGCTGGCCAGCAGGACCAGGTGTGGTGTGGTTGGAGACAGGTTCCAGCACGGCTGCAATATGTCCCACTTCATTTCTAATCCACCACAAAACAAACAAACAAAAGCAAACAAAAACAGAGAAGCATCTGCATTCAAAAACAAGCAGTCCAACGTGTCAATTTTATCTTAAAAACCACTTAGTGCCTTGAGTGAAACAAATGAAACAATACCAGAACCAGTTGTCTCTGGTGTCAGGCATCGGAGGAGCAGTGAGATACAATTTAAACGAAGAAACAAGCCGACCTCTTTTGCTACAGACCTTGCCAGTACAACAGTATATTAGATGTGAGCTGCTGTGTTTTCCTTAGCTTTGTTGTTGTTCCAGTTAGTTCATTTAATAGCTATCATTTGACCTGTTCAGTATCAACTGCTTTTTTTTTTTTTTTTTATTTTTTTTTTGTGATGTGCATACAGGCACAATCTGCAATTATTGTATTAAAACCTGCTGTCTCTCTGAACCTCTCCTTACGCCATCTCACCTGCCCAGCAGAACTCTGTCAGTGTTTAAAATCTAACTCTATATATGTATCAGGTCAGAAAAATAACAGACATCCTCATTGGAAATGACTTTTCATAATAATTTTTAGTGGAATAATAATTTTAGTGGAAGGTTATATCACCTTCCTTTATTATTCTCAGGCCTATGAGATTTGCATGTTACATACTGGATAATATTTATAAATAATTTTACTTTGATCCCTTTTCAGAACTAACTTCTATTATTCCAGAGGACTGGCACATGTTTTTTATATTCCTAGCTTTATGCAGTGTTTTTGGAGTTAAAAATTTAGAAATTGCAGGACAGTGTGAGACTCGTCATTCCTGATGCAGTTCAAAGGAAGTAATCAGAATTACATGGGAGATGAACTTAGAACTTGTTTTGATATCACTTCTTTCTGCAGCAAAAGGTAACCTATTTGATTTCTTTTTTAAATCATTGAAGTCATTAAAGAGCATCTGCCAAATTGTATTTTACTTACTTAGTTATTCTAATAATTTCACAAATATGAAAACCACTGACATTACAGATTAACATGCATAGCGTGCAAGGAGGTCGTATTCATTGTGCATCTTTATTGGATGAACTGTGGACCTTAAAGATAGAACCTGTAAAAATAATTTAGTTGAAGGATTTTATGATGCTAAAAACACAAGCCTCAAAGACTTGAAGCTAAAATAGCAACATGATCATGCATTCCTTATTCTCATCTGAAAGTCCAGCAATTTTAAATGACTTTTTGTCTTCTTGAAATGCAATATCTTTTTTGTCAAAGGAACCAACAGGAGAAACTAAGAAAGTGTCTTGGAATACACTGAGTAGCTTAAAGTCCTTCAGACTTTCTCAACAAAATTATTTCCTTACTTAACTGTAGAGTTTACAAGCAGCTAAGAAGTAAATCTTTCCTAGTTCAATGTCAAAGCTCATAAATTTAAACTCGGGTACTGCAGAAAATGGAAAAACTACTGTTAGAAAGTGAAAAATAGCAGTTTGCCTCTTCCGTTCTGAATATGATGACATACCAGAAATGAAATAAAAGTTTAGAGCTGAGCGAATATGGACATGGCACTGAGACCCTTGTTGCAGTTCTCGTCAGTATCTATTGTATTAATTGAAGATAATTTGTCATTTAGCTTTAAAGCAGCACATCTTGACCTCCTTCTCTGACCAGGCGACCAATCTAGCAGATGTGGAGAGGCTGTGGACATAGTCTGCCTATACTTGAGTGAAGCCTTTGACGCTGTCATCCATAGCAGTCTTCTGGAGAGGCTGGCAGCTCTTGCTCAGATGGGCGTACTCTTTGCTGAGCAAAAAACTGACCGGATGGCTGAGTGATGGTGAGTGTGAGTAGTGGTGAATGGAGTTCAGTGAATCTAGCTAGCGACTGGTCACCAGTGGTGTTCCCCAGGGGTCGGTACTGGGGGCGGTCCTATTTAATGTCCTTGTTGATGATCTGGATGAGAAAATTTTCAAGATGCAGTTGGACAAGGAGCTAGATAATGTCATCAAGGCTCTCTTTTCCCATGAGAGACTGAACTTGGTGATCTTTCAGGATCCCTTCCAGCCTGGGCTGTTCTGTGGAACTATGGTTCTCATCTGTGATACAAACCGCATCTCTCTCTAACTGCTACAAATTATGCATATAGGAAAAAATACAGTTGTTCAGTTGCCTAAATTACAGAGTTTCTTAGCTAAAGTGCCTAAGTTCCATTTTCCAAATCCTGAAGACAGAAAAGGATCTGGGGCATAAATGAGTTACAGCCTAAAACAGTGGAGTCAGGATGTGGCTGGGACATTGACAACTGTGGGTGGCAGATCCAAGGCCTCAGATTAGACGTAGTTTAGCAGCATATCCTTCCTGTAAGAATGAAACAATCGCAGAAAGAATAACATACACCAGGGTAGCATATGAAACCCGTTGCAGTTTTTTTGTATTATGTAAAATGAAACTTGCCTGCCTACTGTAAGCTGAACTTTGGCTACTGTTGGCCTATTGAACATTCTCTTTGGTTTGACTTTGAAAGAGACCTTCAGCTTGCTCTGTTATATTTTAAAGCACTACAGATTTTTAAGCTAGTTATTTTACAGCCTGAGATAATGGTGATTCATTCAGTTTGCTTTTGTAGAGCTTTACGTGTTGAAATTATCACCAAGGTAATTAAATGTTTGTTATCAGGCAATAACAAAACATAATAATCTCTAGCAATTACAAAGGCCTTAGAACCTGAGGTTGAGATCACCTAGGAAAAGTTGAACGTTTTAAGTAATAGATTTTCTTGAAAAATAGTCTTGCCTTTGTGCCCTATTTTAATAATTACATTTTGGCTAAAAATTCTTTTTTGGTAGTTGAGTCTCCTGGCAGTCAACTCAGTATCTTATTTAATATTCCAGCTTCACTGCATTTGGACTGTTTTACAGTATATAGTTTTCTATGCTTCAGAGACATTTCTGTGCTGTTGTGATGGATCTGCTTTGAAAGATCAGTGATTCTTTTGTGATTCTGCAGAAAGCACAATGTCCCATATTTTTGCTTTGCTAAATAACTCTTTTGTTTTAAATGCTGTTTAAAACTATTCAAATTTGTTTTAAATTTAGCAAAAAATATATACAAATAATTTCAGAGTATTGTATTAAATTTATGTATAAATATTTAACAACATGCACTATGATATACCTACTAGAAGATCTATGCTACTCATAGCATATACTTTGTGTATGATGTGTGTATATGCTGTACAGTTACAGAACTATCTAACTATTTAGCATAAGTATCTACGATCACATCGAAATAAATTCTTTTTTAGAGTTAGTTTATCTCTGTTTTATTATGCACATTAATGAGAAGATTAATGTGTTGTTTCTTTTCTGTTGAAGGGAACAGGCAGACAAGCATGTTTTGTTAAGTTGCTGCTACATTTTTTTTAGTGAAAAATCATTAAATTTGGTAAAATTGAATGAATTGAGTGCATTGAGTAGAAAGAATTGAATGAATTTCAGCAATATTTTTCCATCAGAGCAACGAGCTGGATTTCAGCAGGAGACTGGACACGTATGGGCTAATACAAAGATTTTGCTGGTCCCACCTTTAAGACAAGCAAGTACTGACAGAATATGGCTTTTGGACTTTGATGAAAAGAGACAATTAGGGCTTAGCCTATGTGCTTAGATTGATTCATTTGAACACTGACTTACTTAGATTTGCAGAGAACTAAAAAGCCCATCTTTTGAACTGAGAATCCAGTGATGTTAAGGAAGGCCATTTGTTTGGTGTGTTTTAAAGTGTATTTGACAAGAAGGAAATCATAGAATCATGGAATCATCTAGGTCAGAACAGACTTCCAAGATCATCAAGTATAACCACCAACCTGACCTCCTGAGACTAATGAGGTCTCCCTTCATCTTCCTCCAGAAAAAAACAACTCCTGTTCTCTCCTCGTATGCACTGCATTCTAATTTCTTCACCAGCTATACTGTTCTTCGCTGAACGCGTTTCAGCAATTCAGTGTCCTTCTTGTAGTGAGGGACCCAGAATCGAACACACTACTCAAGGTGTGGTGTCACCAGAGCTGCATACGAGGGGACAACCCATTCCCTAGTCTTTCAGATCACACAGTTTCTGATTAAGGCCAGGAGCCATGGGCCCTCTCGGCCACCTGGGCATGCTTCAGGCTGATGTTCAGCTAGCTGCTGACCAGCAGCCCCTGGTCCTTTTCTGCTGAGCAGCTTTCCATCCACTTTTCCCCAAGCCTGTAACGCCACGTAGGGTCATTGTGACCCAAGTGCAGGGTTTGGTCCATCGCTCTGGGCCTTGGACTACGTCTCTGTCTTGGCAGCAGAGATACCTGGGGTGTCTCTCAGGAATGTCGGTGAGCTTTACTTTCTTTCAGATGCTGTCTGTGTAGCTGTCCATGCCCACTGGCACAAACTTCCTCACAGGAGGGAGCTGAAGCAGTTTATGTTACAGTTCCTCGCGGTAGAGGGACAGCTGAAGTTACTGAGCTTGTTCTGGCTCACGTCTGTTTGTAGTTTGACTCAGAAACTGGCTCCGTCTCTGTCCCATTTTGAAGCAAAAAAAGATTTTTTTTTTTTTTATTTTGAGACTTGTATTTCATCCAAGTTCCTTATCAGAGATCTCCAACTGTTTCTGCCACCTCTGAGTACAGAATGAATCTAATCATAGTTCTTCAGTGTCACTGTCTCAACATATAATCCTCTACTGGGAAAAAGAGGAGCCTGTGGAATTATGCCAGATTACCTTAACAAGGAATCTTCATTATTCTCCTTCAGCTAAAAGGAAAGGGGTGGAAACCCCACAGAGCAGAAGGGAGAGTCAAGTAATTAATTTGCAGGTCTTGACATATGGCTGGGAGAAGGGCTTCTGGGGAGGTTGGGAAGGCAATGTTTTCAGCAGCCTTGGTCAGCCTTCGTCTGGATGTCTGCAACAACTGAAGGGTTTCTTCAGACTCATCTGGACAATGGTTTTCTTTCTTCCTTGAAACTTGTGTTTTCTTCATGTGAGGAGTCTTTCCTATCATGGGAGCCCTAGCTTCAGGAGAAGGCTTCTGGTTCTACCCTGCAGCCAGCCTCTGTCTCAGCGGTCAGGCTGGCCCTCTCCTTGCATGCCTTCTCCAAGGATCTCAAACACCAAAATGCTGGAGGATCCAGGAGAAAACCCCATTACAACCCCTTTCAAGCATGAACTGTAAGTACTCTTACTCCTGAAAGTCGGTATGACTCCCATGATTTATTCATCCCGAGATGTATTCATCCATTCATTATTTATTTTCGTTTGTTTTACTGCTATCATTACAATTTCATAAACAGCAGCGCAGAGAGAAAGATGGGACATTACAGAGAGAGCTGGCTGCTGGAGGAATGTCATGGGCTTCGTTCTTCTTGGTCACTGGTAGTCTCCAAAATTGTTATAATGGTTTATTACAGGGAAAGCAAAAGGTCATTTCTGTTTTCCTTTTTTTAGGTTAATGAAAGCCTTTTGTTTCAAGTAAAGTCTTCTTCACAGTCCTTTATAGTCTTTTAGTATGATGAGGACACTAGACCGTTCTGAAGCGATGAGGGATTCTGCTGTGTGCAGAAGATGAGATGAAGGGGAAACTGGCATTGCAGGTCCAGCATCTTCCCTCCTCATTTCAATCTGTGAATGCAGATTTCTGCAGGTAGAAGGACTGAACTGATATAAGGCCTACTCAGATGATGAGTCGATTTAGATTTAGTATTTCAGGCTGTAATCTGGTGTGCTTATTATTACAAGGGAAATGGAGGATTGTGTTGAAAGGAAAAAAGGGAAAATGCAATGCAGAACGTCAGCTCTCCCGTGCCTTTCCTTCTCAGGCTCAAATGCGCAGTGTCCAGGCAGATAGTTTGGAGCTATCAATTTACTGTGACTCAGCTGTGGTAGCTCACTGTCTCAATATGCTCCTCACGAATCAGCTGTGAGGTAACACGAATTGGCTTAAGCCACCTTCATGATTGCTGTGTGGAGAGAGAAGTTCAAATATCAGGTACATTAAGGCACAGCACTGACAGCCAGTGGGTTCCCATTATGGAACTCGAGCCTTTCTGTAGCACAATACTTTCTGAAATGTGTTATTGACTTGATAAAAGCCATAGCAGTGTTGTTCTTAGTACTGCCCTCTAGACCTACTTCTTTCCAACAATATACAGCCCTATTGTAAATCAATGTCCAAAACCACTGCAGCAGTAGTACTTTCATCTGGAGGGACCATTTTGTAGAAAAGAGGCGTTTCTTTTTTTTATTATTATTATTATTTTAAAGAAAGTATTTTTAATTTTGTAAGGAATCCTTCTCAGCCCTTTCAATCAGCCGGATTATTCACTTCATAGTGCAGAAACATGGATTTGTTATTCATTAAAATTAAAAAAAAAAAAAAAAAAAAAAAAAAAAAAAAAAAAAAAAAAAAAAAAAAAAAAAAAAAAAAAAAAAAAAAAATTCTTCTTCACTCTTACATAGAAGGAAAAATAAATAATTAAATTGCCATCAAATTAGATGATGGCATATAAGTCTTTTTTGTAAATCAGGAGAAGAGGTTAAGTAGTTGTTAAAAAAAAGGCTTTAGCCCTGGGAAACATGCAGAGTGGACTGCTTCAGATTTTATATGCCCTGGATTTTCAGAAGGACAGCATATCTGAAGCTTTGTTTAAAAGAACTGTGGTTTTTGAAATGCGTGAAGCCAGTAAAATGAACTTAAGGTCTTAGGGATGAAAATTTAATAAAGAAAAGAAACGTTAAATAATGCAGGGAAATGTCATGGATATTTGAACATTCTGTTGCAGAATATATGGTACAAACAGTTTCTTACAGCACAAAAAATCTTTTTGCTTTCCAGGTGTTGGCACAGGTAAGAACAGCTGTGAGATGGAGGAACACAAGCTGGCATCCTCTGTTCTCTTCAACAACTGTGCTAAGTTTGTTTTGTTGATTGCAGGCATGAAGGAGCATTGCAGGCAGTAGTTTCAGCAGACATGGTCTGCATCTGCAAAACGTAAGCAACCAAGAAGATGAGGTTATAGGCACTATTCCCTTACTTGGGCATCCTTGCTAATATCCTTTTGGCTAAGCTTCAGAAGGTCTCTGGCTGGCTGTGTCTGCAGTTATTAGCTCATGTATTATACTGTAAGGATGCACCATTGGATAGCAATGCTTGTAAATGGCAGCAGTTTGCTTATTGGAGGACGCAGAAGAAAATTAAATTTGCTATTTGGGTTAGCAATCCTATGCGAAAATAATGTTATCTATCCAGATCTTGGATGTATATTGGAATTGTGTGATATTTGGTAAGCACCTAAATAACACAATTCTGTATTAAATCATAGTCTAATTTTGGGTCCGTTTCACTCACATGTGCATCATAACTCAGAAGGTGGAGTGACTTAAAATATTTATAATATTGTGCTGTAACATACCTTAATGCAATCCCAGCATTTACATTTCATTTAGCTGTTATCCTGCCCTTAGGGAAATCTCTTTTGCCCAAGAATGCACATCCCCTGTAACAAAAAGGATCATAAAAACAACAAAAAAAGAACCGTAGCAATATTCATAGAAAGAAGAAATGGCTGAAAATTCACTGTTTTACGATGGGGAACTTGAGAAGGTGAACGGTAGTTTTCCAGTGGCTTAGGAAAAAAACAAAAAAAAACCCCACAAAAACAAAAACAAAACAAAAAAACCCCCCACAAACAAAAAACTAACAAAAGAAACTCTAGGGAAATAAATGCTTCTGATAGAGTCACAGTTAAAAACGAGGAGAGCTTTGCCCCAAATTGAAGTTCAGCATAAACTCAAAGCCCCATGACTTGAAAGCACATCAAAAGTGGAAGAATGGTCTTTTGATCAAGGCACTGACCTGAGAGCAAGTACAGGTTCATGTCTTTGCTCTGCTGCAGACTTCCTGTCTTTACATCTGCTGTCTCTGTGCTTTCTTTTTTTTTTTTATGTAGTGAGACTGATAACATCTAAATTACACGCTGCCTCAGATGGGGCTGTCTTTGACTCTGCCCAGAAGTGAATAGTTCAGTGAGGGCTCACTGGTGTGATATGGTGGTGCTGTGGTAATGCTTAACACATTGGCAGGAACACTTCTCAGTCACAACGTTTCTGATTTTGACGTGTTTTTTGCGATGATGTGTCACAGTTTCACTTCACAGTACAAGTTCTCAGCAAGTTTTTAAGCTGAAGATTTTTCCATTGGAAAGATCTAAGTGAAGTGAGTTAAAATATTTCATGAAAATGTATCAACCTCCTCATATTCTAAGGTGCGTTGTGAAAACACTTCTCTGTGGATGGGACAAAAAGATTTCCTTCAAGTTTACTAGCCTCTTTTGCACCCTTGGAAAGAAATGTGAGCTTTAATAAAACTGAATATTTTAGAATATGGTGCTTCATGAACAACTGAAGGATTTTTGACATTTTGCTTTGACGTGTGATTAAAACAGCTGTAAGAAGTCTATGAATTCCCTCTCCAACACACGTTCCACGTTTTAACCAGAATTACCGCACAGTGTCCACCGAGATCACCATTTTAATAAAAATGTCTTCAAAGCTTTAATTCCACTGTTATTAATTCAAAAAAAACCTCTCAGAAGTTCAGTGTTCATAAAAGAAAAATCTTCTTGTGCTCACTGATATATAAATGTAATCCTTCTAATACAGCAGCACTGAATAATGAGGAGCCAAAAGCTGCAGATCTAATTACTGGGCATCACTGGCTCAGCAGTCATAAAAATCCTTGACTCTGAATAAACAACCTGATTTCTGTTATTGAAGTATTACATCTTGTACCAAACAAACGCTGTATCTTCTTACGATGAAGAAATGCATCTTTATGAAAAGATTAGATCAGCTGATTATGTAACAGTGTATTTTTGGCCTAAAAACATCCAACCAGAAGTAGTCCTGCTATCGCATGTCTTTACAATGAATTGTAATCAGGGTGTGATAAGAAGGGAAGGACATGAGAGTCGTCCATCAGTGCAGTTGGAGCAATGGGGCTTGCTGACTTTCCTGGGTTTTGTTTTGTTTGTATCATTAACCTGAGAAGCAAATGACAAATACAAAGTTGTATTTTCACTTGAAAGCAGTGCTGGAGGCTGGGGAATAGGGCGAAAGTGCAGACGAGAAGGGTTGAAAGCAGCCCTGCACCATGCTGGGGCTCCTTCTCCAAGTACCTGGCCCCAAAGCTGCTGGCCTTACAGCCAGAAGCTCCCTGGTCTTCAAGGATTACTGCGGGGAAGATAAAGGTTGTTTGATCTCACTAGCTTTTATGGTCATCTCATTCCTGGGCAGCTTCTTCTTTTTCAAAGCATTCCTGAACTTTCAGCAAGCTTACCATTAGATCAATAAGAATATAGCAAGGGAATTGTGGAAACAGCTTGCCTTGGGCTGATGGTTAGGGCACTACCTGCACTCCATATCTGCACACTGCTATTCATGTTCATTTGAGAGGTGTAAACATATTCTGCGTAAGTCCTTGGGTTTCTGTCATACACATTCGATTGAATGAATAAATACCATTTATCTATTTCTCTAAAGGAAAGTGAATTTCCTAATTATGGAGATAACTCAGAAATGTTAAAAAAAAAAAAAAGAAGGGGGAAAAAACCCGCTTGAAATGAGAGTAGTCCTTTTTGGGCTCTGTTTGGCTAGGATATTTACAAATCTTGAATCTGTACAGACACAGAAGCAGTACCTTTTGTAATACAAACACAGACATCTTGGAATCAGAAGACTGGAGACATGGCAAAAACAGGCAGGCTTGCATCAAGCGCTCGTTTTAAGCAGTGGAGCAGGGAATGGCAGAGCAGGCATTGCTGTGGCGGGACAGGGTTTCAAATGAATGAGACTATCAGGACTGCACGAGATAAAGAATTAGGAGTGTGCAAGTTAAGTATATCTTCAATTCAGGCCATTTTCAATTCAACATGAACAGATCCACTATTAGCTGCACAAACTGATAAAAATTATGATCAAGGAAAAAGCTATATATCACCGAACCTCTGTGCTAATATGGGACAGGAATTAATTTGGTCTTTGTTATATCAAATCAGGTGGCTAAGCTCACATTCAGCCCAGTGTGAAGTACCGACCACTACAACAGGATTTTCAAAGTGTCCTAATCATCTACGTACATCTGGATAACCTATCCATTATAGAAGAGACTTACAAAGGAAATTGGCTATAAAAGACTAATAATTCAAATATAGCCATTCCTTTGTAGTCATAATGGGAAAAATTAAAACCTCCCAGATTAGATTTGAGGAAGTAGCGACAAGCGAGGAGCTGTGTGAGAAATGATGGACAATTATAGCACCTTGGCAAGGAACTGACATCGCTCTGGTGAGGAGACACCGTGTCTCGCAAGCCTTCTGGAGACTGCTAGGAGTCAGAGAGCATTCAGGTTGTGGTTACTGAGTTGACGTAGTCCATCTGGATTTGCAGAAGTGGTGGTTAGGTGTAAAGTCTCTTACGGAAAATTTGCAGTGATGACATAAGGGGAAATATCTTGAATAAGTGAAATTGATTCAGGAGAGTAAAAAAAAGAACAAAAGCAAACCACAACAATTAAGAAATACTAAGGAAAGATCCCACTATCCTAATAATAATACAGTGACAGTTGAAATTTAGTGTAACTCAAATGTAAAAAGGGACAAAACATCCTGAGTTCACATAAACTCTCATTTTATTAGTGATACTCAGGAGTGATATCTTGACTTCCATAGTTATATGAAAATTTCTGATAACAACCACAGAATAAAAGAAGTCATAATAAAGTTGAAAGTTGACCTTTTTGCATTAGAAATCATAATGAAAAGAAAAAACAACAGAGAACCAACTCCCAAGTTTGAATGCAGAATGCTGTTCTGGTCCTAGCATTTCAAAGGATATAGAAGAACTGGCAATGTTTAGAAAAAGGCTCAGCAAAGTTAGCAGAAGTGCTCCTTTTCAAGACAAGATTAAAAAGGCTGGAATCCTTCACACTGAAAAAGAGATGCCTGAGGTGTGTAAAGCAGTTAGTGAACATGGAGGAGTGGGCAGTGATCGACTATCATTTTCAAATCATATTCATCATTTCTTCCACTACAAGAATAAAAGGATATCAGAGATTATATAAGCCAAATTCACTGGCACAGCTACCTGGAGCAGCTGTGGGTGTCCCATACCCGTAGATGGTCAGAGCCAGGTTGGATGGAGCCCTGGGCAGCCTGAGCTGGTGAGGAGCAGTCCTGCTCACTGTAGTGTTTGGACCTGGGGGGGCTTTGAGGTTCTCCCTTCCAACCCAAACCATCCTATGAGTAACAAGCCTGTGGGACTCCTTGCTATGAACACTAACACTTTCCTGCACCTGGATGAGGATGACGTGACCTTACATCAGGGAGATCTGCTGAGGGATGCTCAGTGTCCAGAGACCAAGCCTGGTTCAGGAATCCCTTGAGCTACAAAGGGCTGAAGGCTGTCAGGGTCTTGGGATTATCATTTGCCTTGCTCCTCAGGCACGTGCTTTAGTGCCTTGGTGGAAACAGAATGGATGTGCAACATGGATGTGTCCAATTCACTGTGGTTTGCTTTAGTCCTTCTACAACACTGTATCATCAACAGATCAAAGCAATTTCTAACTTCAGGGCCTGCTGTGGTCCAAGGTCTAAGAAAAAACTTCACTATATAACGCTATAAATATCACAATTTCGTCAAGATCCTCTGGCTGAAATACAAACCCAGACCCGTTTGCAGAGAAATCTTTATCTAGCAAACGAAGCAAATCAACTCTGGCATCTCATCTCATGCCCTAGAGAGTCGTCTGGTAAGCTGATATTGAATTAAAATGCTTAATCACAATCTGCTGAACATGCAAGGTTTCCATGTACTTTGACCCCACATGAGGAGAGTAGATTCAGATAATACTGCAGAGACCATGCTATAATTTATACATCATCCTATGTCGTGGCAACAGGACCAAATATCACAAGTTGCAGATCTGTAGCAATACTATGTATGTAGTAAAATCGTAGCAGTTATCATTTAATGATTATCGGGCACCCTGAAGTTGCTTTATATATCACTGACAACATAACAGGGGAATTAAAGTGAGTGAGAGTTCCTTTTAGCATCCACATCGTCCCTCTTATGCTGCCAAAGCAACATAAATTGGTCTTAGAGCAGCGAAGAGCAGACTGTTCCAGTTTAAATCTGCTGTTGGTTACAGAGAGGTAGCGCCTGCCCATTTTATTTCAGACAGGAAAAAGTACCAGGAAAATGGCAGGAGCATCAACGTGTCGCTGATGTAGGCTGTAAATGCTTGCTGCAGAGCTACTTCCTTGATTTCAGGTGACACAGAAGAACAAGTTGAACCAAATGACACAGAAAAATGTTCTCTAGATTTGAGCTGTTTCAACAATAATTTGTTGTCCGTCAGACTCATGAGGCTTAACTAATGCTTTGTGAACTATATCAACTAGGATATCCTTTTTCACCAAAAATCTTTTCCAGTTGATTAGCCTGTAACTAAAATGTCTCTTGAGTAAGATACAAATTCTAGATGCCCTAATAAACTGACTAGCTAGTAATTCTCTCCCACGGCCACGCAGCTTTCGTTTCTGTAATCTAGGGGGGGTTATCCCTGTCAGTACAATTTCTTGTATAAAAAGAGTCTGTTATTTCCCACCAGCTCTGTATCTGACCTCACACCTCCTGACGTAAACATAAAAGTAAGTGTGGTTCTGCTGGGCCACCAAAGGTACCGAGATTACTTGCTTTTACAGATTTTTAGGTGGTTTTAATTTTTGGGTATATATTTTTAAAAGATAACCATTAACTAAAAAGATATATATAATTTTTATTTATTTATTTATTTATTTTTTTTAATCGTGGCACAGGTCTGCAGTACCATTTTTGCGGGCT